GAATATGTGCTGTTCTTTACTCTTCTTTTAAAATAAATTTGCAAATGTTTTTCTCCTTTTAGGCCTTGACAAATTTATGAATCTAAAGCTGTCGCAGCCTCCCACGCCAGGCTGAAGTTTCACTTCGTTGCATGCTGCTGCATCATTGTAGTTTTCTCGCTGTGCTTGCTGTTAGTTTTGCTACACCCTCGATTCCCGTTCTCTTGGAACCAGCGCTTGGTGCCTGAACTGCCTATATTTCAGTGGTACCTAGACAGAGCTATACAATTTTAGAGGTACCAGGCTGGAGCTGTGCATCTTAATATACATATTAGTACCTTTATACCTTTCCAGATAAAAGTGTAGTTATTTGTAGTTTTAAGGCTTGCTTGCATTTCTCAGAAACCAGAACCTCACTCTTGCATTGCCATTGTTGATTTACATTTATGTACTTGCCAAGACGCATCTAAAATCCACATGTTACAGTCCATTAAGAGCGGTTTCAGTTGAAGTTTGAGACGAGGTTTCACCACGTCTTTACCCTAAAGATACCTTTATAGCGATCGACTGAAGCCTCGCCAAAATTTTCAGCTCCATAATGTCTTTATAAGTCTCTATTAGTCGAGACGTGTGAGAACTTTCTGTAGAGGTTTGAGACTAGACTTCATTAAGTACCTACACTAAGAATCGTTTCATATTAGCCAGAACCCGGTAGCTGGTTACGTAATACTTGTCGAATTAGTGTTAAAATATATACAAAAATATTCGTTCTTTAATAATACGCTGCTCTGGTGCTGCCAAGTACCCGGTTCCTACAAGTGTGGAAAGGCACTAAGGGTACGTATACAGTGGGGCCTCGTCTCAAACTTCAATTGTACGATGTCATTACATAGACCCAAAATTTGAGAATAGGTTTCAGGTGAAAACTTATACAGGCTATTCCACCTTAGAGGGATTCTTCTGTAACTCTGTAACTGTAAAAATTATAAAAAAAATGGTTTTAATAAAAGTAGTCTGGAATCATGTGGGCCATGTAAAGAAAATATTTTTAGCTTTACAGGGTGTTCCATTTCGAGTGGGCGTTACATAACTTTGTTATTTTAAATGAAGCACCCTGTACATTATTGCATTTTTAAATTTCTTAGCTAATATTAGGTAGAGTTTATTAAATGTATGTACATGGTGTTTAAAACTTACCGTTTTCGAGATATTCAGTTGTTTCTGAAAGAGAACACGATTTCAGCTCTCTAGATGAGGCTAAAATATCATCTAAATCGTAAGAGTTAGAAACCTGCAGTTTTCACAGTTCGTTTTGTCATAAATTACTCTTGTCATCTGTAAGCAAAACATGTACGTTATTCAGACTCGGAAATACTGAGACCTACATTTAATAATCTTACGAGTTGAAAAACGTTTTTTTTTTTTTTCAAATAGAATGATCCACACTGTCATGGGGGAATGCAAAATTGAATACCCTTTCGACTGATATAAGGTTGTCCATACATCAGTTTTTCAGAAAAATCGGGTTCTTTTCTAAAGTCCGAAAAAGTAGCTATGTAACAGCATCAAGAAGGCCTTGCAAACAATGATTAATACACTGTTTGACATACAAAGCAAATTAAATGTCACTCTAGTTTTGATTAACGTTGAGGTAGTTATTTTGCTAAGTAGGTAGTAAAAGTTTATTATAATATTTTCAAAATGTCGCTGACACAAAAAGAAATGGTTGATATGATTTGTGTCTTCGGTGAGTGCCACAGAAATCCGTTATTGGCATCACGATTTTATGCACAGCGCTATCCAGACTCTAATAAACTCTACCTTATATTAATCAAGGAATTAAAAAATTCAGTAATATACAGGGTGTTCCATTTAAAATAACAAAGTTATGAACCGCTCACGCGAAATGGAACACCTTGCAAAGCTAAAAAATATTATCTTTACATGGCCCACATGATTCCAGACAACTCTCATTAATACCAATTTATTTATAAATAAAAGAATCCCTCTTAGGTGGAACACCCTGTATATATAATATACATGGTGTTCCAAAAGTACCGGAATGGCAGACTATCTGGGAATATTCAAGGTGTAGGGTAAAAGTAAAACACAAGGGGTTTAGGATTTTTACCTGGTTATCCGATGGTGACCTTGAATTTGATTGGACCATGACATTCAAAGTCATATCAAGGTCACGAGAATTTTTTGAAATGGGACCCCATAATTTTGACCCCGGAAATGGAGAGCGGAAATTTTTTCGTTCGGGTATGACCTTGAAATGACCATGAAGGTCAAGATCATGATCAAATATCAAAAAGTCCCAAAGTGGCCCCACAGAATGGCAGAATAACCCGCAAGGAAAAATTTTGTTCTTGATGGGTACCTACTAAACCGGTGACCTTAGATTTGACCTCCGCCCTGACCCCAAATTTCTTATCCTCCGGTCAGTTCAAGGTCAAGTGCAGCCACAGTCGGTTATTAGAGGTCACTAAAAACAAAAAAGGTAAAAGGCGGTCATTAAAATTCAACAGTGGTCACCGAGGGTAATAATAGACAGTCTTGGGTAATAAATAGTAGTCATCGAGGGTAACAGAATATAAAGTTAAACCTGCGTTGGAATTTTGAAAGTTGAATCATTAAGAGATTTTGAAAAACAAGTGAAAAAGAGTAATGTGCTATGTCACACCATCACTTTACAAATTACTATCACCAAATTAGTGAAAATTAAAAAAAATAAAAATCCGCTCAAACAAAACAAACAAAATTATAATGAAAATACCAAAAAAAAAAATTTTTTTTTGTACGCCCTGAATCTTAAGAATCAAGCCGTTGCAGACCCATGTTCATATGAACTTTTTATCTTAAAATTAGTCAAAGATTCATCCGTTAAAGTTTGTAGTACTTAATAAACACCCTGTATATGTATGTACAATAGTTTGTTAAGACAAAATGAACTTTATTAGAAATTTTGTACCATAACAACTCTGTTAAATAATTGTTATCCACAGTTCAAAAATTCGTGAAGATACATTTAAGATGAAACATTTTTTATTACTTGCAAAATAATAAATAGAAGGACTTGGTTTAAAGTAAAAGTCATGGCAATTTCAAATTACATTATATATTTGCACCCAGACGTAAATGCTTCCGTGAAGCGTATATCTTCAAGTAAATAAACTTTTTTCTCTGTGTAGCAGGGCCTTGCATGGTATTCGGAAACGACGATCTTGTAAAAGTGGAAAATGTCTAGGAAACAAGGACGTATATCCTTATTGTGGAATTGCTCGCTTCCAGTCAACGTACCCACATCCACTATCCATTCATTGCTGCGACAATCACGTCTTATAGGCCATTAAATGTATTGGTTTCGATAACTTCGGATATAAACGGCCAGGCCCAAAAGTTTGTTTCTTGATAAGTTCTCATAGAGCAATTTAAAAATTGTACTTTGCTATAAAACTAGTTCTTCTACGGGTTATTAAGAAATTTAATTTTCTTTAAAAGAAAGTTTCAAGAAGAATTTTTGTTTAGATGTTTGACTATTTTCGATAAGTTTCTTTGGGGCAATTAGAACATTGGCACACATGTTGGTTATTGAATTGACCGTCTTTTCCATAAATTTCATCAACTGATTAGTCTAATTTTAGATATATGTGTGTCATTTAAACAAAGATGATCAAGAGATAACACTAATTTTGGAAGCTGACAGAACCTAGTAGACAAATAATTTAAAAAATGGTCATTAAAATGTGTCTTAATGTATTTTTTGAAGTGATTTAAAAAAAATGGTTTTTATTTCACTACAGTTATTAACAAAAGGCAATATCAATGAAATTTTACTATAGCTATGTACAACGTCAATCATATCAAAACCGATATAAATAAGTTTGCATCTGAGATAGTTCCGTCCATAAATGTGCACTGGACACGACAATGGAAATGCTCTAGAAGTGTGTTTGTAAATCTACCTTCGAGTGAATAGGATTGAGTACTCAGGGCCGTATTAAAGTTTCCAAAACTACAGATTCAAACATCATCGAATTAATTTGGGATGTTATGAAGTAATATGTGGCAGACAGGAATGTTTACTTTAATCCAGAAATGGACTCATTTGCGATTAATATTTTCGACATCTTCAGTAGAAGAATGAAAATCTCGATGCCAAATGCTAAAAAAATTGAAGAAGTCTTCCTGGCCTTCAGTAAAACAACTATGGACAATTTTGTATGTAGTCTACAAAATAGCAATGACATTAGTGATAGTAAACTTCACAGTGAAACTTCAGATAGTGACGTTTCTGGTATTGTGCAATTGCGATTCTTTTTAATTTTAACATAATATTTTATATAACTGTTGTAATATGTAAAACATCCTTTGCATGTATAATCTTTTGTCATTTGGATAAAACTATATGCATATTTATAAAGTTTTATATTATACAGGGTGTGGCGTGTATAATCTATAAAAATTAAACTACAGCTTCCTGATGATATTTGTAATAGAAAAGTCTTATACGAAAAAGTGCTATCTTCGCGTTTTTTTTTTGTAAATTAAAGTCCATTTATTCAACGAAAATGAAGGCCGACCCTGTGTTATTTATTAAAAACTTTGGAAATGTTTTTATGCGACCCAAGATTCAACCTTATGATTTAAGTTGGTATAATCTAATACTAGAAATACTAAAAGAAGGTTAGGTTACATTGTCAAAAAATTTGTGCAGCCAACTGATTTTGTGTTTTATTGAATTCATTATTCACTTAATTATTAAATATTAAGCATCGTCCATCGATCAATCAGTACNTGCACTTGACATTAGTGATTTGAATTCCATAGCTTATACGACTTTTTCTCGGACTGCACCAATTTTGATAATTCGGCGTTCTGACAGAGAATAAGTTCCGGTGCTAGTCTGGCAATGTTGCCATTGCGCATCTGAAATTCTCGAACCAGATGAATTTGGTCAAGCTGTATTCCTGGTTAAAGATACATAAATAGCTACATAATGCATATTAATTGCACCACAATGTATGATTTTGTGTTACAGGTTGGCAGCATGAAAAACACCCGATACATAACGGTGACCTCGACATTCGAGAAGAGCTTCGAGACCCCAGAGCCCACTTCGACGAAGAGAACGGAGCCCCTCACAGAAAACATCCTCGCCACTTCCAGCAATTACGCGAAGGATAACAATTACTTGGATTCGAGCATCGCGACCCTGCCTCCTATTTATCTCGCATCAGACATGGAAACCCCACCTCTGGAGACGCTCACAGAGACGTTCAGCACGACTCAGACAATGCTGAAGACACACATTTTGCCTGTCGTTCGCAACGGGAACGACACCACTAGTTCAACTTTAGTGCAAACGTACATAGTAACGAGGTAAGTCGGATAATGAGAGCTTGGTATTATTTCGCCTCTAATAAGCGCCAACTCGTACCTCGTTCCGTATTTACTTGTACTCTACACGGAATAAGGACGAGCGAAAAAAGGGCCTAAAGAATTTCAAGTTTACGGGTTTGATACTGTAGAAAGTATACAGTGTGATAATTGGGTGTAAATGATTTAATAGAAGTTTTATTAAACTAAAATAAATGAGCAAACCTAATATATTTCAGTAACAAGATTCTTTCCTAAAAAAGTATCCTTCAAGGTTTTTTTATTTTTCTAATAACTATTGCAGTGAAATTATTTTTCCAAGATATTTCAATTAAATTTAACACAGAAAAGATTTTGGAATATTACCTACAAACTTATTATTTATCTAAAGGGACCATTTCATCCTCTGCTACTTCCGTGTAGTTCTTCGTATAGGGTACTCTGAAAGATAATGTAAATAAAGGAAGTTCAAATAAAAACTACTACTCTACCAAAAATATTAACTTCCTTAATTTTTTTCTACGTCCTGTAATTTGACAGGAAATTCAAAAAAAAATTATACGAAATATTTAATCCAGTGTTTCCTCACACACTATTTTAGTCTAGGAAAGTTTCCAAGACATCAAAAGAAACGTATTTGGAGCTACCCGAAGCACTGGTAGTTCTTTGTAAAAAGGACTTACCACAATTTTACATCGGTTTTAGGTAGTGTTTGGATAGATATTATCACAGCATTATGGCGAATGTCGAAATTGACCTTTAGTTTGTTTCAGAATTTTATACGTTTTAATATCTTTCAAGATAGAACCCAAAATCAGAGTATGTCATAATGTTGCTGATGTGCTAAATATTGATGATTTATGTTTTTAATCAAATTTCGTATCTTCTAAAGCAGAGCTTTTATGTATTGAAGATTATTGTACTCTTAATATTTTTCTTCTTTTCAGAGTGGTGACAGCCAGTAAGACACTACCACCCATGGACGCATATAACTTCATACCCAGCAAGACCCTGAACGAATTCAACAGCCACTTAGACGAAGCCGGATCTGAACTCCACTTGGAACTTGAATTCGGCGACCAGAACGACCAGGAAGACGGCCAGTTAAAGAAAGTAGCCTTCCAAGACCTAGACCTGGCAAATATCGGTTCCGACTTTGACTTGTCGGACGTAGATAAGTCCAAACTTGAGGGTCACTTACGTCTGAAGAAGGCGCACGCTCCACAAAAACCTACAGCGAACGAACTGGTTACTCCAGCCTTAAATCCAGATCAGCTTCAGCAGTTAGCTTTGCTGAGACTGTTAAACCCTGCAGCAGCCCAAGGCCAAGTAATCACCACCTCAAAACCAGTACTTAAAGTAGAGACAGTGTACGAAACACACGTCCTACCTGTTACCCAAGGCCAAAATACAATCCTCAGTACCATTTCCAAAATCAAAGGCACGTTCACCAAGACAGACTTCGAGTTTGGTACAAGTACCATTGCTCCTGCCCTACCCATTCCTCCTCTTGTGCCACAGATCCCACAGTTGCCACAGATACCGCAGATACCACAGATACCACAGCTGAATCCATTCCTACCCCAAGCTCAACCACAATTTGCTGTAACGTCGTCACCAGTTACCCAGAGCACTGTGATTACTCAAACAAACAGCAAGGTGCTCAAATTAACCTTTGGAGCCAAGACAGCTCAAACTACTGTCTTCTCCACGACAGTAGTGCCCACTGTTCTGACGTCATACGTGACTGCTTCTGTACCTGTAGCGCCGACTGCTGCCGCCTTTCCTGGATACTATCCTCAACCGTTCCCCGCAGGATATCCGTACGTAGGTTGAAGCGTAGGTAGAAATTATATTTATTTATTAACGGACTAGTGCAGCTTGAGTAACCCGGACTAAATTCTAGTGAATTATAGTGATATGGAACACTTGGATAAGTGATGTTTGATAAACGCGAACTGCATTTACATCGTAAATAGGTAGTGACCTTTCAATCATGTATTGTATATAAACATAAATCATTTTTTTACGAATCATCGAAGAGTTGGATCTACTCTTAGTTTGTATAGTTAGATTTAGTGATATTTTGTACTGATTCATTATTTATATTGTTATACTGTAATAGTCACTTACATGTAAAAATTTCGTTTTGTATATTTTGTAAAAATATTTTCGTGCAATAATGTATTCATCATAAGATTAATTTAATAAAAAATATTATTGTAGAAACAATTTGTTTTCATTCTCAACGAAAATACAAATATTAATAATTCCGCTACCCCTCATTCTAATTACAAGGACTAGTACAGAAGTCGGAGACTTATGCGGGAACTGGCACACTATTATTCAGTAGGCCACATGTGCGCCCAGGAACGACTTACATTGGTAAACCTTAATCAAAATTCAGTGCAGGAATAAGGGAAACCTGGAATATCTCATTAATTTGGGGAGTGGTCAAACACCGACCGGTATGAATCTCTCACATGTTCTTCCACCCTACCATACCTGCTACGAATGTAGCTAATCTATGGTGATACAACCAAGGGATCGAACCCGCGACAGTGGCATTCATCGATTCAAGTACTGACGTTTAAAACCGCTCGACCACCGACAGACCCAAAATGCAAATTATAGATTGACTTAAATTTCATTTATCACCACAGATAAATATTTTATAAGAAAAGAACAAAAAGAAAATTCTTGGGAACACAAAGAAATCAACCAAGCTGCAAAGATAAATCTAAACTTAATAATAATAATAATAATAATAATAATAATAATAATAATAGTAAATCGTCTTTATTAGAAGCAGTTAATGCAAATATAAAAATATAGAAATTGAAAAAAATTAAGGCAAAAGTTCGCAAACTCATGACGAAGTCTAGCAAAAGCTATTCACACTCAACCATATGTATGCGATAGCATGTAATTTCAAAATACATAAAACAACAGACAATCACTCAGAAAAGAATCAATAACACAATGGAAATAAAATACAATTACCTAACAATAATCAAAAGTTTAAAATAAAAATTCTCAACTATAAACTTTATACTTGAATTTGTTAATATTAAAAATTTTAAAATTATCAGGAAGAGAATTGTATAAAGTGATAGAATTATAAGTAAAAATCTTTTAAATAGGGCACTACGATGATGTGGCATTGTAAAGGTATTTCTCGAATGAACATTAGAACGCTTAACAAATTTAGTTTTTAATTAATAATAAGGAATGGTTAAAATTGTATGCACAAGATTGCCAAGATGGTGACGTCGACGATTCTCCATGTTGAGCCACTTGATTTCTACAATTTTGTGAGAAATATGATCAAATTTTCTTAATCCATGTACAAGTCGACAACATGAATTTTGAACTTTTTGAATTCTATTTTTTTCTTGTACACTAAGGCATGGACCATTATTGCACATTATTAATGAAAAAAGCAATGGATGTTGATGAAATTTATGGAAAATATGGTTAATCCAAAGAATATTTAAGTAATTTCCTTCGTTTTTTTTTGCAAATATTTGTTTAATTACTAAACGTTAATTTTAGAACATCTAAATAACGTATCGAAAAAGAAAAATTTCAAAGAGTTCAAATTAAGTAGCCCTTTATAATTACAAAGTAGGACGTGCAAAATAGCGTTATAAACAAATTGTCCCAGTGTAAGGCAAAAGCCGTTCGGGAATTCGCTCTTTTTGCATCAAATAGAGCTTATTTTTACTGTAATTTTAAAGAAATCACCTACGCCACTTTGTTTCCAAGACAGTTTTCTTATAACGTTAATTGTTAATTGGATGTATTGTATCGGGATTTTAGAGACAATTAAACAAAGGATTAAACTTTTATTTTCAGATAGTTCATGTTACAAATGTGCTAGCAGCAGTAAAAGTGGGCATGCGCGTGACCGTCGCTCTCGGTTGCGCGCGACATTTTTGATTTGAACGTTTCAAATACGGTACAAAAATCTCGCGCGCGACCGAGGACGGCGTTCAAGCAAATAGTTAATTAACAATTAATATTATAAAAAATGTTATCTTGGGAACAAAGAGGCGTAGGTGATTTCTCTTTTTTTAATTACCCTCTATTTAATGCATAATGAAGGAATTCTCGAGCAGTTTTTGCCTGACCCTGGGACAATTTGTTTATAACGCTCTTTTGCACGTCCTACTTTGTTAGTTTTAAAGGGCTACTAAACTTCAACTTTTTGAAAATTTTCTTTTTCGATAAGTTTCATTGGGGCAATTAGAACATATATCTAAAACATTAACTTCTAAAATTAACGTTTAGTAATTAAAAAATTAAACAATTAGCTGCAAAAAATTGCAGTTGGAGCAACAATTTCATGGTCAATTGAATCGGCGATTGGTACACATGTTGGCCATTGGATTGATCGTCTTTTCCATAAATTTCATCAACATACACTGACTAGTCTAATTTTAGATATATGTGTATCATTTAAACAAAGGTGATCAAGAGATAACACTAATTTTGGAAGCTGACAGTACCTAGTAGACAAATAAGTTAAAAAATGGTCATTAAAATGTGTCTTAATGTATTTTTTGAAGTGTTTAAAAAAAATGGTTTTTATTTCACTAAATTTATTAACAAAAGGCAATATCAATGAAATTTTACTATAGCTATGTACGATGTCAATCATATCTAAACCGATATAAATAAGTTTGCATCTGAGATAGTTCCACTCACAAGTGTGCACTGAACACAATGGAAATGCTCCAGAAGTGTGTTTGCAAATCTACGTTCGAATGAATAGGATTGAGCACTCAGGACCGTATTAAAGTTTCCAAAACTACAGATTCAAACCTCATCGATTTAATTTGGGCTGTTATGAAGCAGTATGTGGCAGACAAGAGTGTTTACTTTAATCCACAAATGGTCTCATTTGCGATTAGTATTTTTCAACATTTTCAGTAGAAGAATGAAAATCTCGATGCCAAAAAATTGAAGAAATCTCCCTGGCCTTCAGTAAAAATTGTTATGGACAATTTTGTATTTAGTCTACAAGATGGCAGTGACATAAGTGATAGTAAACTTCACAGTGAAACTGCAGATACTGACGTTTTCTGCGACTGTAATTCTTTTTTATTTTAACATAATATTTTATATAACCGTTATAATATATAAAACATCCTTTGCATGTACCTATAATCTTTTGTCATTTGAATAAAACGTTTTATACATATTTTTAAAGATTTATATTATATTTTTATATTATATTACTTTATATTATACATTAGGTACATTTTCTATACAGGGTGTCCGTAAATTTCAGCGACAACGTTTGACTGCATATTCACGACGATAAATAAATACGATCTACGAAAAAAAGTTAAATGAAAACCTGTGCAAAACCGTACTTATCTTATCAACTTCGACGTCACCTGTTACATAGGTGTTGTATAACAATGAAAAAGTAATATTAACGGTCGATAGAAGGAAGCACAAAAAACAGGCACTTAGGTAGGAAATTCTGGAAGGAAGCCTAGTTAGTTGAAGATAGGCAGTTGAAGTGCGAACAGTGTGGAGATCGGTAGTAAGACGATCGGCGGGCAGTGTGTCAAAGTAGTGAAAAGTTAATTGTTTAAAGTGTTATTAGTTAGCAGGTAATATTCTTTAAGTACTTTGTTGTTAATTGTTCTATGTAATCTTATGATTGTGATGGTTATAGATGTTTCATGATAATAATTCTTTGTATGTTTAGCTTCCATTGCTTTATGCTCAAGGGCATATATTTTTCTAAGGTAAAATTGTTATAATTATTATTAACGATTGCTCATTATTTATTTCATGTTAAAATATATATATTGTGTGGGCGCCCAGACATTACAATAATGACTCCTTTGATTCACATCTAACTTGTTTTTGTCATGATTACGTTGTTCGTAAAATATAGATGTTTCATGATAATAATTCTGTATATGTTTAGCCTTCATCATCTTACACTCAGGGGCGTATATTTTTCTAATATAAAATTGTTACAATTATTATTAAAGATTGCTCTTTATTTCGTACATGTTAAAATATGTATATCGTCCTGCCCAGATATTGCATTAACGACTTCTTTGTTTCACATTTAACTTATTTTATCAGGATTAGGTTGTTCTTTGATTCATTGTGCTCACTTTATGTCATACGTCTATACAAACCTTGTTGAAGTTACTAACATTTTCGCCCGTGCGGAACGAATCTGGATTAAGCTGGATTGCCTCCCGCATGGGACTACGGTGTTGAGAAGGATCTTCCGAAATATCAACTTTAGCTGGATTGCCTCCCGTATTATGGGACTCCAGTACCTTCTGGCCCTGCCGGCTAACTAACACCAAACCTCTACAGTTTTACTTGGAAGTGTGTATGACTAATATGAGGTAACAGATGACATTTAGTGATACATTAAATGAGACAGCTCTTATTTATCATTAGCAAATGATCTTAATTTATACCTTTGGTTAGCGGTTGTTTTGTATTTATATTTGGGTGGTAAGAGCAACGATCGTGGGTTTCTCTGCCATGCTCTTTCCCCACAGGAGCTCTAGGTGAGTCTGGCACTTTCATTTTATATTAAATGGTTGTTAATGTTTTTGTTGTTCTTTCTATTTGTCAGATGTTTAATTTGAAGAGAGACTGTTGTACGTAAATAATAAAGTTAGGTGCATTTACTCTCTTTTGTTTTATAAAATTAAGCCATACATCCCCTCAAAAAAAGTTAGTAGCCAGCGCCTTCCGGTCCATTAAAAATATATACACACAACGTAGGTATTCCTTATGACGATCACATATTTCTGGCCACAACTACGTTTGTATTCTTTTTTCGATCGAACCTAGGGTTGTTATACTACAAATCTTTTTGTTTTTGAGTTATAGGGCTTCAAAGTTGTCAAAAGTAAAACTAATTTAATTAATAACTTCATAACCCTTTTACCGATCGCGTTAAAATTTGGTACATTTATTTGGACTATTATTGCATATTATTTCTTAAAGCTGTAGTCAAATCGATATACTGGGTGATAGTTTTCTCCGGTTACATCTCCCTCTTAACGGTCAAAACATTTACAGTGGTCGTACTTTTTTAAAATGGGCAACAACATTGAAATGGTCGCTTTATCTAAAAAAAATAGTGTCCTATAAGAAAATCGCCTACAGAAAACCATTCTTGAGAAAAATGCCATTATTTGCAGGTCTGTACGTT